AGGAGCAATTCGGGGTTCAGTATCTGGCTCAAAGATACTTGTGGCGACATGTGGCACCAGGAGCCGGGGATCGAACCAACAACCCCCTCTAATTAGGGGACGACCCGCTCTGCCTCTGGTGCTGGACGGACTCACTGAGAATGACTTGTCAATCACAATGTAGCCACGCCCCAAAAGCATATGCTGCTCTACTTTACTCTTAATGGGACCATAATTTACAAAATGAACATCTTGTTGTATGGAAGAAGACTTGAAACTAGAGATTGAGACCATAAACAGGAAACAGGAAACTGTTTACTGTTCTAATCAATCAAGTGATAAGTAGAGTAATTTCTCTATAGGACTCAATACTATCAGACTTCGCATTTGTAGCCAATGGAGCTGGCCATTACAATGACTGCAGAAAGACACTTCCATGTTGCCTTCACTTCGCAGATCTTGAAACTCTGTTTATTATATATTCTGTCAGTGGTTTGTGTGTGTATGTGCACATTTGTGTAAACTCACAGGGACAAGCTCCTTCAGTAACGACAATGTTGTCCAGAGCTGAGTCACAGAAAGGACTGAAGCCTCTCTGAGCCTCGAAGACAATCTATAGACACAGGAAGAAAACATTATCAACCTGCGATAATATGAAGAAAGCAGTTGTACTGTATGACAGACTTGGCATTTAAGTTACAAACAAATTATAGCTTTACAGTCTGGTTAGATTACATTCATTCTTATGGCAATTGACTCGGGTTCAAATATGTTGTAGCTCATTTAGCTTAACTTTTTCTTTCATAAGACAGTAAGTGCATTTCCAAACAACTGCTTTTTTCACAATTTGTGCACATAAAAAAGTGAGCAGAAATACCCGATATTTGACAAAATAGGTCAGAATATGATGTGAATATTATATGGAAAATAAGTGCCACGAAGTACTGACATTCTTTTGCCAATTTCTGAAATTTGTTTAAAATTTGTGCTAAATATTGATGAAGACTTAGCTATTTATTATGCGATAGCTGTGTTTTATAGTGTTTAATCAATAATAGGTGCTCTCCTTTACGAAAATACTTAAATTCATAAGTAAACACCTTTACCAATCCAGTTTCTGTTAACAGACTGCAGTAGCAAGTGAATTGATGTTTTTAAACCCTTGATGTCCAGGTAAATTGTGAGATATAACTTTGAAGAGTTAAAGTTTGAAATGACTGGTATTGTGCAGGATTCTTTGTTTTTAATGTAAACTTTATCATATAATACATTTCTCAAGATTTAACTCTTTAATTGTGAAATTGAACAAACACCAAATTACCAGACTGGGTCCTAGTTACCACATTGCTGTTCTCTGCTTTGTTTGTTCAAGCCAGTAACCTGCTGACACTCACAGTGACACTCTGACTGCTGGGTTTTGACACAGTGACTGAGCCCTGCAGCCAGGATGGACTCTGGATTCCTGTCTTCTTCCAGACCTCCTCCTCAGCTCCAGGCCCCTTGGCCAGTACCCTCAAGACATTGTTATTGTCTGAACCATACATATAGTATCGAAACTGGACACAGATCTGAGAGGCCGGTGATGAGAGGGCTGGGCTCAGCAGACGAGCTTTCTGTCCATTAGCCACATTGTCAGCTTCATGGTAAATATAGTAGCCCTCTGTAGACACATAGAAGACAGATGAATGGGTATTTCTGTAATCATGACTTAGAATTCAGTGTTTCCCTCCTAGGACTCTAAATTAACTTCAATCATGGCTTGGTTACCAATGAGGGGATTGTACAGAAATAAGACATTTGAAATAAACAATTAGTTCAGGACTGACTTCCATCAGGGTAGTCTCCATGGGGACCAGTGCCATCTGTCGGGGTTGGACCTTTGTGTCTTGTCCAGTCATTGCTGTCTGTGTTGTCCTGACTGAACCTGCAGAAGGGGTCACTGTCCTGGTTAAAGTCACAGGAGGTCAGCACTGCTGGAGAAACACAAAATGGAGAGGTAAATTATATTAAGAATAGCAATGTTATAGCGTTTACCCTCAAAACAATTTGTGATGAATAATAAAATGTAGTTATTGGAAAGATGTTATTAGGTAGATAAATTATTCAATTGACTGACAAAATGTTATTATTTAGTTATGCTTTTAAAATTAAGTTGTCCTTGCCGCTGTTGCCAAATGCTTGCTCATGGTGGGTCACTGTAAATAATAAAAAATAAAAAAGAGTACGGTCTGGACTTGCTCTATTTGAAAACTTTTGTTATGAATTGGCACTGTACAAATAAAATTGAATTGATAATTAGAATTAGATTGCTATGGATATGAATGGTGGCTGAGTTATTGGCAGTGCTGCCTCACAGCAAGTTCACCACAGGTTTAAAGGTCAACAGTCACTATTGTATTGTATTGCAATATTTTGTTTTGTGATATTTTATTGATTCTCTATTATTACTATCTATTTTTGTGTTTATGTCCCCAACCTGTAGATACCAGTGTATTAAACTGGGACTATGATACTGGATGTTACAAGGACTGTGATACATACAAATGCAGATCCCACTGTTCTGGTTGCGTAAAAAAGTAAACTTTTTGTGTTATTTTGCAATATTGAATCATTACCGCTAGATTCTTGCCAGTACACTTCAACACACTACAGACAGGGCCTCAAGAATAACTAGTAATACAGGAACATTGTGATATCAAATTCCACTCAAAGCGCTTTTACACTGAATGTCACACATTCACACAGTGATAGCAAAGCCCATCAAACATAAACTAACTAATTTATTCACATCCACCAAGGTTGGTAATCCAGCCTTTAATGTGAGTGTGAAAGATTGTATGTGTATATATATGATAGACAAGGGACTAGAAGGTACTGTGACTGTCACACATTCAGGCTTGGGGAGTAACGGGTTACATGTAACTGAGTTATGTAATCGGGATACAAAAAAGTAACTGTAATAAATTACGGGTTATGATTCAATACATTGTGATATATTCCAATACTGTAAGCAAGGTGATATATTGAGATTTTCTTACAATGAGTGTGATAGTATAAAGACAATACAATATGATACATATATGTGATATATATGTGTTAGAACAGGTAAAAGCAGCACCCATTTTCTTATAACATGATGCTTTGGTGACACACTACAGTGATTTTAATGCTCTGAGTAAGAAGTGATACCTTTCTGTACTTTGCTGTGTGTATATTTGGGCTGTGTTAACAGATTTTTGCTGTGTGAAAGTGTTTGTTAGTTGTGGATAGTGAAGATAAGGAGCTCTAAAGAGGTAAAGTCCACATCCATCCCAAGGAGAGTGTGGTGGAAGCAGTGGATCATATGCTGCGCTACTGTCCAAGCTCTGTGTGAGCAAGTTCTGTTGAAATGTAGATTGGTTTACCATATAATTTGTGCATGAATGTGTGCTAAACATAATTTGTTGGATGATTAAAAGTGACCTACCTGCTTCTCTCTGTGATTTCTGCAGACTGTGAAGAGAGGGAGACTGGTTAAAGTTTGGTTAAAGGTATATCAGCTTGTGTGAAAAATGTATCTGAACCACTGTCATTTATACTACAGTTGACATTGTTATGTAATTACAGAGAGTCAGTCAACAAAAGCAAGAGTCTGTTTGATCAGATTTACAACAAGCAGCAATCAGCATGGTTTAGTGTACTGTTATTGTTTTCCCCCATCTAAATTTAATTTGAAAGCCTTCTCCACAATGCCAGGAACAAACCTTTGGTGTAGTCACATTGAATCAATTATGTCTTGCTTTTCTTGTTGGCCTAAATCCAGTAAATGTGAAAAAGAAAAAATACTAAAAAAAATCTTAATCAACCCGCCATCAGAACCAAAAATCCCCAAATCCAGAAGGCCATAACCTTACTGTCCTCAAGACAAAAAGGTTGGGAACCACTGCCACTGTAGATGTCAGGCAACTCACACGATACACTTTACTGTTATTGCTGTAGGAACATTACAATATATTATAGGAAAAGATTCTAAGTAAATCATAATCAACTCACCACAAAATCAATTCTGAATACAAAAGACACCCATCTGAATGAATAGTGCAATGATAAATGCAGAGATCTGAATAATTAGTGACTTAACTGGTTGACAAAAATTTTGATAATTTATTAACGATACGTTAAGGAATGTGCTACTTTTCATATGATTGTAGGCTGTATTTTGAAGTGTTAGTATGATGAAATCATTGTTTTGATCGTGTTTATCATTTATTTATACATAAGATTTAATAGCTTTGTAGAATAAATTATTTATCAATGATAAAAGAGGTGGAAAAATGATAGACATTCTTCATTACTGGAAGTAACTCACCTGTGCTGTGACTGTCCTCCTGCGCTGCATCCACACATCCATAAGAGCAGAATTAGAAACATTAATGTATGCATGGCTAACTGTTAGTTAGCAGATGAGGAAGACAGAGGGACGCAGCGGGGGAATTTATATAGAGGGCTAGAATGGACGGGGTTGTTGACGGGGTTGTTGGGTGGGTGGTGTGGATGCTGAATTGCTGCATTACTTGATGTTGCAAAATGTGTAAATGGTTAACTGTGAGTGATAGGGACAGGGTGTGTTCTCTTTGGTTATGAGTTTGTGTTTATCTGAGCCTGTGTGTGTATGTGTGTTTTTTGACCTCTCAGCAGTTCACATGGTGGGTGGGGATGCCCATCAAACACTATATTACAAAAAAGAACTTGTACTGTAAGACATTACACAGATTATTGTGTAATAAACAGAATACTTTGACCACATGGACACACCTTTTCTACATGTACTGCTTGTTTACACATATGTCAAATGCAGAGGACACATTTGGTTTCCATGTTAATGCTGAGAAATTACAATAAATGCTAACGGCTGAAGCTTTCATATTCTGGTTTTTGTATGAATTCATCCAATCATCATCTCTTTTGTCAGAGATGCTACTTGGACAAATATCTTATTGTTGATAAACTTTGTTTTCCATAGCAACCAGACTGACTTAGGTTTCCATGACTAATTTGCCCTCTGGTTCACTTGATCAACAATGACACTCACACTGTTGAACTTTACCTATGAAATGAGAAATTAGAGACAAATGCTCTAATCTGATCGCCATAAAAGTTCCATTGTGTAACATGTAGGCCTCTATTGGCAGAGATGCAATATAATACTATGTTTTCATTAGTGTATAATCACCTGAATATAAAATTGCTATATTTTTGTTACTCTAGAACAGTGGTTCAGTTCAAACCAATGTAGTTTTATTTGTATAGTGCCAATTCATAGCAGAAGTTATCTCAGGACACTTTTCAAATAGAGCAGGTCTAGACCATACTCCTTATAAAATTATTTACAGACACCCAACA